GGGAAAGAAGATGATTTTTCTTCTTTTGTTTTCCACCATTTTTTCTTGTAAAAAAACACCGACTAAAGACCCTTGCTTGCTTAAAGCTTTTCACATGTTGGAGGAAAGGGATGAGAGGTGTCCCTTGGGTGGTGGAGAAGCGGTTACACAGTGGCCGCCCCAGCCACCCTACCCCTGCATCATTGACTAGGTAGGGTTGTAGGTCTCCTTTTCTACCCTATGGAGAAAAGAGATAAGGACGACAAAAAAAAAGAGGGAGAGAAAGAACAAAAAAAATAAAGAAAAAGAGGAAAAAAGAAGAAAAAGAAAACACATCATAAAAAAGGAAGAAAAAATAGGGGAGGGAAGAAAAAAAAGAAAATAGAGGAATAAAGAGAAAGAAGAGAAAAGAAGGAAAACCGAAAGGAGGAAAAGAACAGGAGAAGAAAAAGAAAGAACGAAACAAAAGCAAAGGAAAAGAAAAAAATAGGGGAGAAGCATCAGAGAGATGAAGCAGCGCCACCGAGTCCAGCCACCGCAGATAACAACAACCACCCTCTTCACGCTATGTAATCTTCTCTCTATCTTTGCTTTGTCTTTCATTTTCTTTTATTTTGCATACAAGTCGTGAGCAATTCACATTCTGCAGCAAATGAAAATAATTGGTTGGTTACTGTTCTCTGCCACTGCATAGTAACCAGACAATTATAATCTTTGAGGCCGATACTGGTCTATTTTTATCTTTTAGGCCGTTGATGGCCCATTTTTATAATAGGCCGGTGCTAGCCCATTTCAATTTTTTTATATTGGGCCGTGTTGGCTTATTTCAATTAAATATACTGTAAAAATACAAATCTGGTATTAAAATACTCAATTTTTGTCAGCTAAAAAGGAAAAAACATAAAAAAGAAAAAAAAATTATTATGTATATAGCTAAGTCTCTCAAAGCTAAAAATCATAGTGTTTTTTCTCATACATCAAGAAAAAGTGTTTTAGCATGCATTTTGGCATTGATAACCTGTTTATTAAAGTCAAGAAAATATTAGCCAATATTTCAAAAAAAAATATTTTTGTTTGGTTTTAGTACCAGAAATTATGAATTTATACATAAAATATATTCCTAATATTAAAAAAAATTTAATTGTGCTTAGATTTTTTTTATCAGACCATAAAAGAATATAACTTATCTTAGGTAGGGTATATTTGAAGTGCTAATATCTTTTTTTTTATGCAACAATCTCCATACCTTATCTTTAAAATCAATTAGGGTTCCTAATAACCAAAATATTAGATGACGACTCACAGTTTATATTTTACTAATACGAGACAAGAATTCCTTGTCTATCCATATTTATCAGATAGACTTACATATATCATATTGAGGGTGAAATATCTTTGCGACACTGTACACGTGCGACATTGATATATAGACTAATATATGTACATAGATTAAATATTCTCTGTCAATATGAAGTTTCTAACAAGTATCCCAATATCAAGATATAATAGATATTCAAATAATTATCAAAGTAAATGGATGTCATATTGAATAGAATTTAATTCAATAGAATACGAGCGCAAATTCAAGAATTGATGAGTACTCGAAAAATAAAGCAACATATAAATAAATATTTAAGAAATAACCAGTTGTACTCCTCATATAATCAATATATTCATATTTATATTACATGTATGTTAAAAATTATCTAACTCGTCAGAAAAAAAAAGTAACAGAGAAACAAATGTAAAACTAGAGATTATTGAGGATCGTTGGGAGAAACATTAGCAGAATCTATATCTAATAGAGAAAATGCTCATAAACAACTTGAAGCAAACAATATAAAATATTACAATTCGAATATTAGAGACCAAAATATAATTACAAACCCGAAACAAATCTACTGATTGATTCCAAATATTTTTCAAATTAACCGAACCTAAAAAAACCGATCAATCTCCACTGCTCGGTCGACCAAAACTATTTGGCCAACCAATCAACTTGTTTAGACAAATTGGTTAACTAGTTGATGGAGATCTTAGAATCTTGATATGTCAGTCTTTTAAAATTATAGATCCTGAAAAACCAATTTCTTTCTCAAAAACTGATAACTCCAATTCTTATATTAGTTTAATTTAATCCAAACTAATAATATAAATATTAATTAATCTTAAATCATTCAATAGAATCAAGCATAAAAATATCAAGATTTTTGCTTAGAAACCCTTATCTCCAACTTCCACATCTTTTTTCTTTTTCTTCTTCCTCCTTTCTCTTTCTTTTTCCTGCTTCCTCTCTTCTTCTTTCGGTTCTATCTCTCTCCCTTACATAATTCTGGTTTCTTCTTTCTCAATTTTTTTTACCATATATATATATATATTTATTGAACTGTCCAATTTTCTTCTTAATCATTAATACTCGTAATAATACACATAAGATCGCCATTAACTTTTCAAATCCATTTTATTTCTATTTTGGGTATTACAAAGGCTATACCTATAACTATTTCTTCACAATTTAGAATTGGTCAATCAAATTATCCCAGTCTTGTAAAAAAACAAAAATCCATTTCCCATTTTTCTTAAGAGGCTCCTAACCAAGGGAGTCATAAGAATGATTTAGACAAACCCAATATTTACCACTTGTGCTTCAACATAAAAAAATATTGACATTTTCAAGTAAACTTTATATATTTTCATCCATTGAATATTGGATTCCTGAGCATTTAATTTCTTTGTTTTATCCTCTCTGTGTTTCTTTCCGTGAAACTCAGAAGAATTTTTCATACTGACTGAAACTATGCTGTGTTCAAAACATGAATATCGTCCTACTCTAGCTTCTGGGGTTGTATATTACAAATTAAGCTCTAGACTACTCACGCATGGAATGTTAATAGAAACCTAGCCTAGGGGATACCAGTAATATTTTGCAAGACTTCAAGGGAGGTCTATGGTATTTGCCAAATTGATCAGCAACAACATAGAGTTTGTCACGGATATGAACAAGAATAAATAAGCTTCAAAATGGACAAATTAAAGTGAGAAAAGACCTCTGAAATGATCAAATTACGAAGGATCCTGTTTACTTTTTGACTTAAATATATGCCCCTGAGGCCCTCCAGGAATATGGCAGCACCTGTCCATATCATGGCCGTCCTGTTAATACTGCAGCAGGGAGAAAACACTCATGTATATTACATAAGGTGTAACAATATTGGTGATCAACAAAGCCTATCTCACCTTGATAAGTGAATTTACTCCTCATGTTAAAGGCTCAAATTCTGATGGAGACCACAAGATTTTTTTTTTCTTTTTCGGTGAATGCAACATTGAATGATCTATTTCAAATTCAATTCGGAAGTAACTTCACATTGATGTTCAAAGTAATGGTTTGTTTGAAAATATGATTGTAATTATTTTTTAAATAGTTTTTATATTACAATGTTAATAATATTTTAAAAAAAAAAAAATTATTTTTAACATCAGTATATCAAAATAATTTAAAAATATTAAAAATATATTAATTTAAAGTTAATAAAAAAATAAAAAAATTAATTTTTTTTAAAATATTTTCAAAACACATAAACAAATACCAGCTTAGTTATAGTAAGAAAATAAAATTACGATGTCATGTGCAGTCTAGTGAGAAAATAACTTCACTTAAGCTCCATGGAGGTTTTAGTGTAGCACAACAATTTACAATCTTGATGTAGAAAGATGAACTATTAAGGAATCTAGTTGCCTACGTCCTTGGTTGAACCAGGGACAGGATGCCATGCACCCAAGATGCCCCGTAGAAATATTCCCAAATCCAAATACCTTTCGACAAATTTAGGGTAATTATTATTACTACTATTATAGACAGTATCATATTTGTATCGTTGTTTGTACTTTCAGCACTAGCTAGACATCTCCATCATGCTGTCACCTGCCGGAAAGTGGAACCACTGCTGGGATATTTTTATTTTTTTTTTGAAAATTTAATGGAGAGAGGGCAGAAAACCCAAAGGAAAGAACATCACATTCTGGACGTAAGAACCCAGAAATGCAATCAAGCTTTAGCTTCAAATAGCCAAAGGGTGCTTCTGTGCAGTAGGAAACTGCAACATCCAAGGAGGAGGCTTCAAGGAGTAAGCTTGAGTCGACATCCATTCCACACACCAGTTCGCTTTTGCCACAGAAGTCAAAGCTGCCCTTGGCACAGAAGCTGAAACGCATAGGCATGGTGAGAGAATGAATGTTTTGGTTTAAAGAACATGCTATTACAACGAAGTAATTAAATTTAATAATTAAATCCTGGTGATGCATTCTTAGCTTTATATATTATTTTATCTTATTGTAATTATTTAATGTGATATAGATAAATACTCCCTATAATTTTTATCTCTCCAGGATCCTTGCTGGATTGTTTTCATAGTTAAATATAAATTCCATCTATTAAACCCTATAATAGACATCACATTCTCAATCTTTCTTGTAATTATTATAGGTTCTCGATATTTCCCCTCACATACAACTCTTTTTTATAGTCTATCAAGTGACTTGAGCTCTAGGGTTGAGCCTTCGATGACAAATTAAATTAAATTTTATAGTTAAGTCTAGGTTTCATCCAAAATATACTAAGCATTTTGACGAGTGGTCAATTTTCAAATTTATATATTGTTTTATGTTTTTGTAATTATTGAACAGTTTTTCTAAAAGAAACTATAAATTTGAGTCCCCAAATGAACAGTTATCCTGCCACTTTGCCCATTAATTGCAGAAATCTTGCTAACAATCAAACCGAGATAAGAAGATTTGGGAGAAGGGGAAAAAAAGAACTAAGATGATTTCTCTAACAATCGATTCTACCTAGCATTTTGATGAGTGGTCAATTTTCAAATTTATATATTGTTTTATGTTTTTGTAATTATTGAACAGTTTTTCTAAAAGAAACTATAAATTTGAGTCCCCAAATGAACAGTTATCCTGCCACTTTGCCCATTAATTGCAGCAATCTTGCTAACAATCAAACCGAGATAAGAAGATTTGGGAGAAGGGGAAAAAAAGAACTAAGATGATTTCTCTAACAATCGATTCTACCTAGCTCTTTGTAAAAACAAATAAAATCCAAAACTGGTTAATGGTTAATCTCATCTAGATGTTACAACAGGAAGGAAGCAACTTGTAACATGAATCAAAATGATGTTTTATTTATTTATTTTTTAAATATTATTTTTAAGATTAGCACATCAAAACGATCCAAAATATATTAAAAAAATTAATTTTTAACAAAAAAATTAATTTTTTTGAGAACACGGGCCTACCCGCGTTTCCAAACGCTCCTGAAATGTATGGTGGGAGAACAAGAAGGTTTTATCTCTTGAAAGTTGTACCTCGACAAGAGACATCTTGACTGCTACTTTATGCGGGCTTTCGGAACTTCCCATGAACCCACACCCTCTGCATGCTCTTCCCTTTACGGCGATTCACAGACTTGACACAACAATACTCAAGCTCAAGCTGTATGTGAACAAGTGAATTAATGCAACAGTCAAAATATAAAGTATTTATGTTTAAGTTTCCAATTAGTCAGGAATATTAATCAACAACTTCAAGGCTCGATATCAATTGAGTACCAAATAATAATTTCAGTTCCAGTTACTTGGTAGCAACCATGCAGGCCTAATAGAAAGTGAACGCATACACCATAGAAATCTGGAATACAAAGACAAATGTTTGCAACAGCCCAATAGAAGAGATAAAACAAGTACCTCAATGAAGCCTACACCCACAAAAAGATCCCTGACCGTATCCAAACAGAAGAAATAAGAACGAGTTCCATCTGAGCGCATGTACTCACGGAACCCCACTCTCTTTTCTTGCTCAAACCGCAGCATAGTCATATCATAGAGCCCTGAATGTCATCAAAACATATGATAGCAGTTATATGAAGTAGTTGCAGAAATACAGTGGGCATATGGATAGGACAAAAAATGGAATACAGATACATGGTATTAATTAATCATTTGTCAATTTACAATTATTGATCTTATGGTTGTAATTCTATTACCATAATCCCTGAAAAGTAGCAGGCCACCAGGCTTCAGGACAGAAAAGCACTCCATTATAGCTGAGGACATTTTTTTTTGTGGCACCGCTGATAGTGTGAATATCTGGCATAATACACAAGAAAAGAAACACCTCAATAAACAAAAGTCACTGCTTCCAACAAATTGCAAAACAAACTACCAGAACATGAAAATTCTCTGTTTTATTTTTTTATTTTGTTTGGCATTGATGATAATTCATTAATGCATGAGACGCATGAAATGAAGCAAAATACTACCAAGTATAGATCTCCGAACTGAAAACACTGAAAATTACCTTTAGATAAAAAGAGAGGAGCAAGACATGAAGTCATGTAAGCACATGCAAGAAGAGTATATTCAAGATCATGGTGGGTGTTCATTGTATGATGATTGAGACCAACAGATAAAAAACAAGATAGCAGGATAAACTTTGAAACATCCACCTGAATCTTGTCTATGTTCTTAACATTGTTTTCTCAGCTAGTTCTTACAAGAATTCAAAAAAAAAAAAAAAAAAACTTTACCAGGACAACTTAAGTGATCTAAGTTATGAGAAAAAAAATGACTCTTTTTTCTTTGTTCTTCTGCAATAAATTGAAGTTTTTCCTCACAAAGCATTAACCATGCTACACAAAAAAGTCATGATTGAACCAATGCATGCAGTCCATGGATTGCGTGCTTCCATGGTGGCTGCTGCATCTATTCTATGTTCCAAAGAGCTTCTCTTTATTTCTTTTTTATCTCAAATAAATGATCTTTTATTGTTTTCTATGAAGCCTACATTAGATAAATGTGATTTTAGTTATCCAACAAATTATGTGAGATATACTATAGTAACTTATTTGCTGTTTTATTTTGCTACAACCAGATGCTACAAAGTGGGTCGGATGGATGTCAGTAACAGAAGAAAGCACAAGTAACAAAAAAGAAAACATACCAAGCTAACAATATCAACCCCACCAATGCAACAGCCACATTCTCTTGACACATACGAACCACTCTTATCTGCCACACCACCCTCTTTAACATCTGAAGAAGCGAGCAGAATTAACCAGACTGAAATGTACCTGTGGTTACAGTTGTCAAGGATGAAAGCAAACAAGAAAGAAGTACCAACCTGAGGAGTATTCTTGCTGTTTCAGTGAAGAACTTTCTACACAAGAATCACAAACCAACCATTTCGGGAACCCAGTAAAAGCAAAATCACAGAAGAATGGGTGGAAACGATTTTGGACTGCGAATATATCAGTGGAATGAACAATCTCTTTAGCCCTCTCAAGAGTCTCACTGCTACAATCACAAGCATATACAATAATGTCCTTGTTGCCACTACAAAAAGAAAAGATAAAAGCTTTTTAATGGACGGAACACCAGAAGCATGATTTAAGGTCTACTAATGAAATGATATAACCCGGTGAGTGCAACATATGAGGATTCATCCACAAAATATCAATGAAAGAATGTAACTAAGATTAACACATACAGTTCGCATGCAAGATGGTTATCAGAATTCCCAAACACAAGTTCACATCTGCAACTTAATTACCAGTTAGTTGAATTTAAATCAAGGTATCACTACACATTCCCTGAATATTGCTGTAATCGATGGCACATTGTCACCAAAATATACATAACAAATTGTTCATGACACAGAGCATATAAATAGTTCATAAGAAATAATATCTAACATGGAATCACTACCAAAAATGTGAAATTTTCCAATGATGATCTTCCAAATGACAAAAATCATTAACAAGGGGCAGAAAAGAGAAAAAATATGTTGAAATTGTGATAATTATTATGTCATCATCAGGACCATTTCTGGCAACAGTTTTTTTTCCTATTAGATTATCTTAAAAAAGAAGAGCCCTATATAAGCCTACTTTGGTCACCATGGTGTTAGACATTTTAAGAGAGACTCCCCCCCTTACAACTTTATCAAATGTGAATCTTCTTACAATACAGATCCCATTAGAATATGATTTTTTGCACCTAAGCGGGCAAGCCTATCACCCACGTATCAACACATCCAAGCAGCCTATGTGAGGATTCAAACTCAAGACATCGGCATGAACAACTCAACCCGGGTTCTCACTTCAATCATTTTTAGTTTCTAGTAAAAAAAAAAAAAAATAGAGTCCAAAATGTAGACATGTGTAAAGTGAAAGAACGCACTTGCAATTCCTATGTATAAGAACAGTTCCACAGAAAATCACAGCCTTAAAACAGACAAAGAAAGCAAAGTTGCAGTTGTTTTTATAAGGTTACCGTAAGATAGGAATAGCAGAACTGCCATTGCCACAGCCAACTTCCAAAACCTTCGAAAACTCTTTACAAGAAACCAACTCAGGGAATTCCTTCAACAAATACCTTCTCTCCTGCACTTAAAAAACATAACCCATTTCTTTAAAATCAAGAAAATGAATCCAAACTCAATTGAAAAAAAATTAAATAGTAAGTAAAGACCTTGAAGAATTTGCCAGAGGAATGGCGAAGATGGAATCTTTTCCATGCTTTTGAATCTTCACTTACTTGAATTTCTTCTTGTTGTGAAGGAGGAGTATAAGTGAAAGGGAGTAAGTGGTATTGATAAGAAGGGTTATCTTCTATTTCTTGTCTTAGTGTTTCCCATTCAAAGTCTTTGGAGAAGTACTCTGCTTCTGCTTCTGCACTCATTCTGTCTCTTTCTACCCCGTATGCAGAGAAGCTATATATAACCCTAAAGGTTCGGTCTAGTTGCAAAGAAAGGATACTCTCCCGTTTTCTTTTTTTCTTTATTTTTAATAAAATATTGAGATTAGTATCCAGTAAATATATTGAATTCCTTCATGAAAAGAAATGAATATCCATTTATTAGATTTTGATATTATTAATACTCTGAATTCAAAATTACTCCACTTATCAACTTTAACCAATCAAAAAATTTTAAATTTTTAGAAAATATAATTTCAATGGCGTTTCCGAAAGCCAACTAAATTTAATAGTCTAAATAGTGCTGATCTTGGAATCAGATGTGCTTGCAGGGGGTGATACAGCGCACTTACATTTCTTTGGTGGAGAAAACCAATGAAGAAAAGACTGTCCCTGCACCATGGTTAACTGTCCAAGTGGTAAGAAATTACCCAGCTTTGGTCCCAAGATCCAAGTCAACCCTAGCCATCGAACGGGGAGAGCTCTACTAGTGGCGGACCACTGCCTCTGAATGAAAAGGTCACTAAGGACAGGGTAGTGGGATGTGCTGGTGGAGAATTAGAAACGATGACAGATAATTCCAGACAGCCAAAGGTATAGTCGCCGCCTTCAGGCTTCAACAACCATCACCTCTTAGGCTATCGGCAAGCTAACACTGCCTAATTATTAGAGTAATCACAACAGGGCTTCATTATTGTGCATAATTTGGACCTCAAGGGAAAATGGTAATGATTTCCGAAGGGGAAAGTTCAAAGTAACAAAAATCAAAACCGCATGAGCACCCCTGTCATAAAACCCACCAAAGTCTAGCAATCTAGCTTCAGGATCCAATCATAAATGATTCCACATTATCGTAGCATGTGCCTCGTCTCAAGCTACCATTATTTTTTTTTAATAAAAAAAAAAAAAGCTTAGTGTTGTTTGAGTACAATTTAGCAAAATAAAATAAGTTGAAAATTTTCTTTTGAAAGTAGCGTTGTTTAAATAAAAACATGATTTTTATTTACATTTTTATTTAAAAATATAATTTTTAACCGCAATTATATAATTAAAATATAATTCAGAATAGCAAATTTGCGTAGTATAAAAACCTCTTCTTATTTTTTTCGTTTTTTCCACAGCAATCACTCGTCTCCTCCCTATAAAACATGAAAAACAACTTTATATCCTCTATCAAGACACGAAAATGATATCCCTTTCATCTCCACTGGTCTCTTTAGTGTTTTTTCAAGAAAAAACACAGGTTTAATCTCTTTCTTTAGCCTTCCCTGCTATGACTACCGCTACCATCAAATAACCATTAACAAATCAAGGTAAAAACATTATATTTCTCTTAATTTTGTGGGTTTCATTGTTAAATTATGAGCTTTTTAGTTTTGATTTATTATTGTTTGTGTTGTATTTCATAATTAGATATTTTGTTTGAATTAAAAGAATTTATGGTTTGAATCATTATGTTAGGTATGTTTCTATGCAATTAATATTATTTATGAGATTAATTAGGTTGGAATGACAGGATGGTCAAGAAGTCATTGTTGATTTTTATGATTTTAAAAATGATGGATTTATTTATCATTATGTATCTTGTTGGTTTATCTTATATTGCACTATACTCGAGATATTTAAAGAGACAAGATATTTGGATTATGTTGTGTTTAAGGAGAAGATCACGTAAATACTAGAAAATCATGCTATTAATGAAGTCACTCATCGATTCATTGTGTAGATAGACTATATAAACATATAAAAAGAGAGAGAATGGAATTATGTTGTATTATTTTTTTAGTTATGAGTGTTTTTCTTGTATTTTATTAAATTTTTATAATTATTTTGGACTTGTCAAATTGAGATTTTAATATTATCGTCTATATTATGAACATTTAAATTTATTTTGGTTAGGTAAAGTTTAAAATCATAAATTTATAAGTGAATGATTATCAATAATACAAAGCAGATATTTACAGGATAATAAATGCGGAGATATTTATAAATGGACAAATGGTGTCACATTAAGTTCAACTAATGTTATAATAAACAAATGAAAAATCCGCATTAACATATGTAAGGAAACTTTAATGTCATTTTTTGTGCTTTTTTAAATACAACAATATCCCTTCATTTTTGTTATGTGTTTTAGGGAATATTTGCATTTTCAGGGTTTGAATTTAGGTTTGTATTTAGGGTCAGTATTTAGGATTTGGGGTTTGGTTTTTAGAATTAGAAATTTAAGGTAGGGATTATAGATTTGGGATTATAGGTTTGGGGTTTGAGATTAAAGATTGTAACTTTAAAGGTTATGGTTTTAGATTTGAATTTAAGAATTTGGGGCTTGAGATCATGGTTAGTGTTTATGTTAGGAATTAGGGGTTTGGAATTTGAGAATAATTTGGGGTTATAATAATTTTGGGTTTATATTTTAAATTCATTTAAGATTTTGGTAGCTTAGAATTTATATTTAGAGTTAATTTAGGGTTTGAATTAAAAATCTTTTAGTGAAAAACACGAATGAGATTCACATCTTTAAATCAAATACAAAACTCGCATCTTTGACTGAACTATGTTATTTTCTTGTAACTTTTCTTTACTACGCTATTTTGCCAAAACACTGGAAAGGAAAAAAGCCCAGGCTACAGTGATCCAAATCCAGATCAGGATTTGATGTTTCATTTTTTTAATCAAAGTGGCTACCCTTTGCTCCGTGAAAGCTGAAAGCTTCTATTTCTCCACGGAAAGATGAAAGGTGCAGCAGACATAAATCACAGACCAAGACCTGCAACCTGACAATCTTAACCTGTATAAAATAGCAGTTACTAGCGATATATGAGTAAAAAGCAACTGAACTAGCAAATAGCCAACTAATCCTGTACATGAACTGCGCGTAACAAATCTGCATCGCGTGCATTGAAGTAAATCTAGAAGCCAACTGCAAACATTATCTTAAGTTCAACTAAATTTAAGTTCATTGTTCTACATCAATTGCATTTTTAAATTCAGGACATCATCCAACCTTTGACACAACATTCTTTGCAAAACCACCCAGTGAACCTCTAACCTACAACACAACAAAGATATCAGGACCAAAAATGTTTCAATCACTCGAAACATGAAATGCGTTCTCTGGTGTTTCTCCTGGAATGATAACTTGGTTGAATAAAAGAAAACAATATAAGATCTACCACAACTTTTACAAAACACTAATTGCGGAGACATCAAAACAATGTGGAAAGTTCAATCTATCTGTATTATTTCACTTCTGTGAATCATATTCTAGTTCCTTTTACTGTTATATAGAAATGTTATTTCTCATGAGTCATTATCCATTCTATGAAATTCTAGCCTTTGAGCTCGACAAGGAAAATGGGTAGAAAAAAGTAGAAGTTTACACTTTGTATATATGAAGTATAATGTTAAGTTAAACATCCCCGTGCTGGATTTTGATGAAGAGCTGACTGAAGAACCCTGAACGATTGTTCTATAAACCAATGCCTGATCATCTTTAAAACTTATTTTCACAACCCTTCACGGGCCCTCTGCAAAACTCTTCGAAGCTCATCTGCCATCCCTTGTAAGAGAACAGGTTTTCGAATCACTCCATTCATTCCCATCTGTAGGCATCTCTCCCAAACATTATCCTCAGCACTGGCAGTCACAGCTATAATCAATGGCCAATTACGACTCCCAAACTTCCGGATTTGTGTTGCCACTTCGAAACCATCCATTTCTGGCATTTGAAGATTCAAAACAACTAGTATGAAAGAGTTTTCAGCAGAGCTAAGAGCACCAAGGCATTCAAACCCAGATGAAACGGCAGTCACTTCACAGCCTAACTTCTCAAGTAGCTTCTTGGTCACAGTCCTATTTACATGATCATCATCAGCAAGTACAACACGAAGGCCTCTGAACTGAGAATTGGAATTTGGTTGTTCTGAGGAAGTTCCTGGGGCAAATATGGCTCTTCCATAGGATGGCCGGATTTGAAACCAAAGAACCAGAGTCATGCCTTGTGCAAAACCCAGAGGGTTCAAAGATATCCAGATATTACCTTGCATCATCTGCATATACACTTCTTTCTAATAATGTTGAATATGATACATAGTTAATGCATCTTAAATATACTCCAAGAAGACAAATTAACAAGATAAATAACTAATTAAATAAACCTCTTCAAGTATGCTAAAGTACAAGCCAAGGAACAAACAAAGGCAAAAGATCATTCTGAACCACCCCCCCACCCCAAAAAAAAAAAAAAACAAAACAAAAAAAAAAGGCTTTAAAAAACAAATGAGACACAGATTAAGGGTCCATTTGGCATGACTTATAGAGAACTACTTTTGAATTTAAGTCAAAATTCAAAAGTTAATTTAAAAAATGACTTCTCATAAGAATAATTCAAATTAGATTTATCTTTGGCAGGCATGGGCTCAAAACAATTTCTTTGAAGAATGGAGATGGTATGAGTTAGAATCAATAGGTTAAAAGTTTGAAATTTCAACTTTTGAGCAAAATTTTGTCTCAATTCTAGAAATAAGTTTTTGATCTAAATAAGTCATCTCTAACCAAACATACTTAAAATTTTTCTTTTGGTTGTAAAAGTCATGCCAACTGACTCTAAGCATGTTAGGAGGAAAGAAATCATTGAGCCGTGTTTGATGAGGTTATTTGGATGCAGAAGTGAGTTGTCATTTTCAGATACAGAATTAGCTGAGACATTGTCCATGGAATAAGGTCATATAGAAACACCCTACAAAAGAAGAACGCCTCCAATCTAATCAGATGCATTTACAAGAAGTAAAGCATGATAACTATCCTTTAGATTTAAACAATGGAACCAGCACCAAAAATGTCGTAACTTGAAAAAGAAAGCGTTCTTTTACAAATTTTACTCCATGCAACACATTTTCATCTCTAGATGCAGTTAAATAAAATGGCAACATTTTATCTCATGGGATGTCTGCTGTCATGACCTCTATTGCAAAATAATGCAGGAACAATTAACAAAGAATGGCATATGTGTAGCCACATAGATAAATAATGTTTGATGCCTCACCTGTACAAGCCTTTTGCACATGCTGAAGCTCAGGCCCTCCTTAACTCCAGCACTGTTTTGCCTTTTACCAGAAGAGTTTGTCGTTGAGCTAGCTACATCTGAGAGAGAACTTCCCTCACTGATCTCCATGTCAAACTTTACACATACAAATTCATCTGGAGCATTTGGTTTCCACATCCCCAACATTCTATCTGTCTTGCCCTCACTACCATTCTCCGAAGAAACCCGAAATATAAAATTTCCCCCACCATCATAGATGTTTAATAAATATCCAACCATGTGTAAAATAACTTGAAAGGCCCTTCTTTCATCTCCTATCACCAAATCAGGCAAAGAACTCTGAACATCAAGTCCAAACCCAAAACCTTTATACACACACAAGCACTTGGCAAGGCAAGAAGCTTCCTTGATCATGGAGTGTAGACGAAAGGGCCTCATCTCTAAAGGGAACCTTCCAGTATCTTGTGCTGACATTTCCATCACATCATTAATCAAAGTTGAAAGAACATTGCTGGTTTTCACCAATGTGTCAATAACAATCCTTTGCTCGAATCCCATATTCTCATTTTGGAACATAGAAAGCAGGCCCAAGATTGAGTGTATCGGTCTCCTCATCCCATGGCTCATCACTTTTTGAAATGAGATCCTTGCCAGGCTCGCCATCATTGCATTCTTCCTAGCCTGTTGCAACGCATGATTCTGCTCACTAAGCTTGTCTCTCATTACTCGTGATTCTTCTAGAACTGCTGCATGAGACAAAGCCACAGCTACCTGATCAGCAACTACTTCCACTATTTCCATTTCCTCATAGCTCCAACCTCTAGAACTCATACTTGGAAGAACCAAAACCAGTATAGCATAACAAGTATCCACTAATTCAGGTGTCCCCCCTTTGAAATTTGAAACCCGTAGCATTGGCATCCGGATCGCTGCAACAGCACCTGACTCCTCTGAACCTCCACAAGTTGAAGCCGCAAGTGCCGAATCGGGCCTCAAAACCTTGACCCCCTTGCTACCTTGTATTTCCAACACATCCAGGTCATTAACAGGGATAGAAGGACGATAATTTTTTGAATTAGTTTTCAGCTCATGGGTGAGATGGAACTCCGTTCTATTCTCGTTTGGCATCCATACAGCACAATTTTGCAAGTCCAAAGTCTTAGAAAGCTCAACTAGAGTGGTATACAATATCGTATGCTTGTCGAGCGACTTCCTAATTTCCTGGGTTAGCATTCTAACATGCCAACTGGCTTCCTTTTGTTTCTTCATCATCCCAACCTCTTGATCTAATTCCAAAACATTTTTCTTTAAGAAAAGCTCCCTCACCTTCCATTTGAGAAGAAGTGGAATCAAGGTTAAAAGGGTTATGGCAGTTGCACATGAAACTAATGCTGTGAGGAACTTGGCAATGGTGAGGGACAGTATCAGCTGGAATGAGTGCGGCCCATAATAAGTCCATGCATTGAGCAAATGCGTCAGTCCACAAAGGACTATGAACGCTATAAACTGAAGAAGGACCCATTTGAAAGGAAAGTTGGAGCAGCTAACAAAGTAAAGAAGTTCAATTGGTATGGAAAAATAGGCAACTGCAATCAAAAAATCACTCACTCTCTGACATTCTAGAATGTTGTGTATACTCCAAAAACCCTCATCATCGCAATTACAATTTACAAA